GCTGGAGTGCAGTGGCACCATCTCAGCTCGCCGCAACCTCCGCCTCCCAGGTTCAAGCGATTCTCCTGCCTCAGCCTCCCAAGTGTCTGGGACTACAGGCGCGCACCACCACGCCCGGCTAATTTTTGTATTTTTAGTAAAGACAGGGTTTCACCATGTTGGCCAGGATGGTCTCGAACTCCAGACCTCATGATCCGCCTGCCTCGGCCTTCCAAGGTGCTGGGATTACAGGCATGAGCCACGCCCGGCCGGTAGTTCCATTTTTAATTTTTTGAGGAACCTCCATACTATTTTTCATAATGGGTTTACTGATTCATTCACTCATTCTTCCACGCACTGTTCAAATCATTCATTCACTCATTCAGTTCTGCTGGATAAGATTTTCCAGGGTGTGGGAACTGGGAATCAGTGGTCTCAAGGAATTTCTCCAGGCGATTCTGATGCATCCGCTGAATTGAGTCTGGGCGCAATCTCTCTCTATTTCAGTTCAAGACGCAGTACAGCACGAGGGTGGTAACCAGGACCATCGTGAGGACAGAGAACGGGTCTGAGCTGGGTGCCTCCATGCCTCCTCCATTCTCAGTGGATAACGGAACCAGCCTCCTGGAAAATGTCACTCGGGCCTTGGGCACCCTGCAGGAGGTGCTGAGCTTTGAGGAGACTGTACCCGTGCCTGGCTCCGCCAATGGCATCAACGCCCTGGGCCTCGTGGTCTTCTCTGTGGCCTTTGGGCTGGTCATTGGTGGCATGAAACACAAGGGCCGAGTCCTCAGGGACTTCTTCGACAGCCTCAATGAGGCTATTATGAGGCTGGTGGGCATCATTATCTGGTGAGTCCTGGTCCGTGCCCATGGGAAGATGGAGCCAGTGCTGGGAAGTCAGGCTATGGGGAAGCTGCTGAAGGCTTGCTGGGGACTTTTGGTCGTTCATTTACGTATTGGGTAATTTATTTACCCACTCACCAACTCATTCACTCATGTCTTTCTGCAATGATTTCGTCATTGGTTCACTTCCTTGTTCATCTGTTCATTCATTAATTCTTCTATGCATTGGTTAGTTTCATGGAATATCTCACTCTTTCATTCATTCGTGTCCTTCTGCAATGATTCATTCACACATTCACTCCTTTGTTCATCTGTTCATTCACTCATTCTTCTACGCATTGACGAAATCACTCATTCAGTGATTTATTCATCTACACTCATTCTTCCATGCATTGATTTACTCATTTCCTCATTCATTTGTTGATTCTTCTACGCATTGGTTAAATCACTGGCCAACTCACTAACTCATTCATTCATTCACACTTTTCTGCAATGATTTGTTCACTTGTTCACTCCCTTGCTCCCATCCTTCAATGCCTTGACCAAACCATTCACTGACATTTATTTATCTACATTTATTATTTCATGCATTGGTTTCTGGATTTATTTGGTCATTCATTTATTTTTAAAAATTAATGTATTTTTAATTGACAAATAAAAACTGTATATATTTTCATGTGCAACATAATGTTTTGAAATATCTCTACATTGTGGAATGGTTCAGTTGAGCTAACTAACATAGACGTTACCTCACATGCTTATTTTTTTGTGGTGACAACACTTAAGATCTAGGCAGGGTGTGGTGACTCATGCCTATAATCTCAGCACTTTGGGAGGCCAAGGTGAGAGAATCACTTAAGCCCAGGAATTTGAGACCAGCCTGGGCAACATGGCAAGACCCGTCTCTACAAAAAATACAAAAAAGTTAGCTGGGTGTGGTGGCATGCACCTGTAGTCCCAGCTACTTGGGAGGCTGAGGCAAGAGGACAGATTGAGCCTGGGATGTAGAGGCTTCAGTGAGGTGTGATTGCCGGGGTGACAGAATGAGACCCAGTCTCAAAAAAAAAAAAGAGAGAGATCACTTAAAATCTACTCTCTTTGTGATTTGCAAGTACATGATACATTGTTTTTAACTATACCTACCATGTAGTCCAATAGATCTCTTGAACTTATTTCTCCTATTTAACCGAAATTTTGTATCCTTGGTCAACATCTCCCCAACCTCCCTTCCCTGTGAGTCCCTGGTAACCACCATTTTACTCCCTGCTTCTGTGAGTTTGATTGTTTAGATTCCACAGATAAGTGAGATCATGTGGTATTTGTCTTTCTGTATCTTGGTTATTTCAATTAGCATAATGTCCTCCAGGTTCATCTGTGTTGTCACAAGCGACGGGGATTTATTCATCTCCTATGCATTGGTTAGTTACTATTCATTCATTCATACCTTTCTGCAATGATTTATTCACCCACTTACTTCCTCATTTATCTCTTCACTCACCAATAAATTCACTTATCATTCTCATTTTTCTATCGGTTCATTCATTTTCTTATTCATCTATTCACTCTTCCATGCGTCAGTTAATTCCCTCATTTATGCATTCATTCACTTGTAAATTTATTTACAAACTCATCCATGCATTAGTTAAATCATTGATGGACTCATCTGTTTATTTACTCAGTTAAGTCATTTATTCATTCTAATTCATTCCTTGACCCACTCATTCATCTATGCATTTGTTATTCTTTCATTCATTTACTCAAGTATTCTCTTCATTCACTCATTTGTTCATGTATTTGTTCACTCAGCTACTAACTTGTTTCATTTACTTGTTTCCTTGCTTTTTCATCCACTTGCTAATCCTATCCTTCCCTTCCCTTCCCTTCCCTTCCCTTCCCTTCCCTTCCGTTCCCTTCCCTTCCCTTCCCTTC